TGTCATTTAAAAATCCATTTCCCAAGGCTCATCGGAGAGTTGTTTGGAACAAGTGCAAGAAAGTTGTAGTCAGACAGTCCGGCGTTCAAGTACTTCCTAATAAGCTCTGTGATTTTGAGAAGGTTCTGAAACTCTCTAAGCCACAAATTCTACATCTGGAAAAGGGAGACACTGAGCCTGTCACATAGAGTCATTGTGGGGATTGAATAGGATTAGCAAGACAAAGCATATGTGTGGCATCAAGCATATGGTAGGGGCTCTCTCACCTTCCCCACTCAGAATGGGGGTTGGAGAGCCTCACAGAAGGTCTGCTTTTAAGTCTTAGCCCAGCCAGGTGGTTCCACCTCTCTGAGTTTTCTTTGTGACAGGCTGCAAAGGTTGGAAATCTGAATGCTGACTGGACAGATATAACCATGCTGATTAAGATGCGGGGTAGAGGGGCAGGTGAGCCCCAGGGCTCAGGGACACAGTGTGGGGAGAGGAATTGTCTTCGTGAGCAGGTGTTGGGAGAGAAGAGCTGAGGAACATGGAAACATGGCTAGCCTGATCCTCGCTGTGCTCTCAAGGCAGAGCTGGTTTGGGGATGGGGCTGGCTCTGCCAGGATCGTTTCTGCCTTCAGTCTGTCTTGGAGGTTTATGTGAACCTGATTTTGTCTCGGGGTTGGTGGTGCACATCGAGGTATGGTTTAAGGTGCATAGTACACTTTACCCTGAGCCAGAATCCTCAGGACAAAGCTTCAATCCCTTCTCTCATCCTTCAAACCCTGTCATGGCCTTCATTTGCCAGCTACCCGCAATCCTCTGGGTGTTGTCTCGGGTGTCCCTGTGTGATGTGAATACGCAGCTAGGAAAAGCATTGAGTGACACTGGTGTTGAGAGGGATGTCACAGGGCTGTTCCATCAACCATCAGGAGAAAAATATATTAAAATTTTTTCTGAGGAAATTGAAATCCAAGCATCTTGCCGATCTGACCAAGCCTAGGTGGAAAGTGAACCTTGATTCCATGTGAGGCCTTAAAAAGAAGAAGCCACTAAGTCCACAGAGACAGCAAGGCGGCTGTGCTGGCTTCAGAGTGGCTCCAAGTGAAAAGCAAGAGTGGCTACAATCCATTGAGAATCTGAAAATATCATATAGCTAAGAATTTTGATTTCCTCTCTCACTAAGTTATTTCCCAAGCTATTGATAAACAACTAATTGCCTGAATCCCCTGATTATACCCACTCCTCCCCCATTTATACATGTGATTTCTCAGTAATGAAAAGGAAAGAGAGGCTGAGACACAGGGGGTCATGGGTGGTCTTCACCCTGGATGGTGAATAAAAGAGGCTTGGCTCTATTTTATGCTGTGTCTTCCATACTGGAGGCAAAAGTCCACACAGTGGGCTCAAGAAGTCCTCTGGTGTCTCACAGCCAGGTTGACTGACAAGCAGGGCATGATTAGGAAAAACTGACCAGTAAATAAGCATTGAATACCTACTGTGTGGCAAGCATGGTGTAAGGCTTTGGGTATACATATTGCCTGTCATCACAGAACTCAGAGTGTGGTGAAAAAGATAGATTTTAAACAAACACAGCAACAGTTACAACATTTTCAGATTGCAGTAAATGAATAGCTATTATGAGAAAGAATAACTGTGGGGACATAATATAGATTGGGGAGCAGGGATCAAGGAGGGTCTCTCTAAGGAGGTGACAGTTAAAATAAAGCCTTCTTGAATTTTGTTGTCTATCAGACTCACCTGGAGAGTTTGTTTAGAAAATAGGTTTCTGGGTTCCACCCTAGAGTTTCTGATTTAGTGGGTTTGAGTTGGGTCCTCAGAATTTGCTTTTTGAATAAGTTCCTGGGTGATGCTGAGACTCCTGGTTTGGAGACCATACTTTGAGGATCACTAGCCTAGAGGATTGGTGGGAATTAGCTAGGTGAAGAGAGTAGGGGACAAGATCAGCATGGCAGAGGGAGCTGCATGTGCAAACACCCCAATTTAAGAAAGATCTGGGGGTGCTTCAGGTAGTGGAAAGGTCAGTGTGTCTCAAGGCAGTGAGTTTGTGGACCAGTGGCTTGAGGTGATATTAGAAATGAACCTGACTCCCGTTTCCATCCTGGAACTCACTCCAACAGAGCCACCTCCAGCATCTAAAAAGAACGGTTCCATTGATTCTTGGAGCTATCCTGATACAACACGGGGCTAATAGAAGTGAGCAGACCCTGAGATTTTGTGAGGATTTAAAGTGGTAAGGTATGAAAGGGGCTGAGCACAGAGTAAACACAATCCATTCTAGTTTTCCTTCCTCCCTTTATTCTCTGACTTGAAACATGGCCTTGTCGCAACTTCCCTATTTTCGCTATAAGGGAATATGTTCCTGAATTGGTGTTGAGGTGCTATCCTGTAGCTGCAAACCAAAATAGTTACTGTGGAAGGGATCCATGATACCTAGACTGGGGTCCAGTTGAATAGTTGGCTGTAGATAGGAAATCTGGATACCACTCCCGAAGACCAGGTGTGTATGTGTTTTCCTCCATCTGATGAATTGATAAATGTCACAGGATTTTAGACCAAAGAAAACATGGGCTGGGGTTTTGAAGCCAAAGTGCACATTTGGCATTAGGCCACTTCAACTCAGAGCACATTTGTTGAGCTCTCTGTGCCAGGTCCTGTGCTCGGTGTTGGGAAGATAGGGGTAGGTCGTCAAGACTGGGTCCCTGCTCTCGACTAGCTCCCAGCCTCTCTGCGAGATGGACATGTAAATACCATAGAGCAGTGAGATAAAAGCCTCAAGAAAGGTCTGTACAAAGGGCAGTAAGAACTCGTGAGAGAGAGCAGTTCTGCCTGGGGAAGTCAGAGAAGGTCAGAGACAGAAAGTGACATCAGAGCCAAGCCTGGAAAGGAAACATCTAGAGAATGAGCAGAACTGAAGGATAAATGAACAAATCTCTTTTAAGAAAAATTTTGTTATTGTTTTAAGCTCTGACCTAAATCATTGTTCTGAGCTTCTAGAAGATACATGGCCACATGGTGTTGAATTTGATTTAAAATATTGCATAAACTGTTATATATAGAAACACATATGGAAACGATCTGAAAATATTTCTCCTCAAATATAGTGCCATTTGCTTTTACGAATTTGCTATTTCTGGATGAAATGTGAAATATTGCTTGGTTTTCTGAGATGCAGAAAAAATTATATCACCATCTCGAGCGAAAATAATTTTGGTTGTTAATTCGTTCACTCATTCATTTATTTAGTCAGTCAACAAACATTTAGTTAAAAATTTTAATTTTTGAAGCACTACAGTAGGTCCTTTGGGGGCAACAAAGATGTATAAGACGTTGTGCTGCCCTCAAGACTCTTCAAGGCTTAGGAGTGAGAAAAACGCGTGCACACAAATAATTCTAACACAAGTAAGTTGTAAGTGATATGAGTTAGTACAAACAAAATACTCCAAGGGCAAAGCAAGCTACTTTCTGATTGGGATAATCATAAAAAGCATGACTATTTATGGAGAAGACACTTGCACTAGGGCTTATAGTGTGGGAAGGGATTAGACATAAAGAAATGAGTGTTGAGGGAGATATTCCAGGCAGAGGGAGGTACTTTGAAATAGCACTTTGTCCTAATTAGGGGTATGACTTGGGGAAAGAGCTAGAATAGGTAACTGTCAGCATCACGGCTAAGTTTGAACTTGATTCTACTAGCTGTGACTCCTTGGAATTTGAAATGCCAAGCATTTGTCACTTGGTTCCTTCCACACTTATTTTAGTTGGTATCTCAGTACTGACCTTCGTTTTGGCATAATTTTGTCCAAACCATAGGATATGTTTTAAAAAACAGTCCTTATATGCCCATAATAGTAAAATCACCACGTGGCTGCAAATAGCCATGAAGGCTACAGATTGAAAGTAGACCCTTTTCTTTAAGACTTTATGATTCTACAGCTGGAGGTTGAAAGGGATTGTTTTGTATCAAAGTTCCTTCAGGAAACAGATGAAGGCTTGTCCTATACAGGTATGGACAGTTGTGGGCAGTGTTAAGGGAAACCCACGAGGAATGGACCAGTGTCCCTGGGCTGTGAGAGCTGAGAAGCTGTTATCGCCCCAGGCTGATGGTAACAGCCCTAGGCAGGTGGTAAACGGCAAGGGATGTAGCAGACACTGGAACCTGGAAAGCTCTGTGTTGCCTCGGAGGAACACAGATACTGCCTGGGCTCTGATGTTGTGTTGGTGCGTCCCATCGGCTGAACCCAACTGCCTGGAAGGCAGGGCAAGGAGCCCGTATTCCCTACAGGTCAGCCTTCCAGGGCACAGGGCATAGGCAAGGAGGGATGGAGAGCCCGTCTGGAGGGGCAAACAGACCATGCACCACAATCCTTTTTAGCTTTAATGTCTATGATTCCAAACTTCAGTAAGCCTTCATTTAACAGATATGTTCCAAACACACATATGGCTCTCAGAAATTTATGAAAACTAAGAAACACAGGGAATTGATTGGGTGGCTACATGTATGGGTAGATGGTGAGGGAGCCTCTGGATGAGGAGCTCACTAAATAGTCGCTCAACTAGATTGCAAAGCTGGTGAACTCAGGACTAGGCCATTTGGCTCTTGGTTCCCAACGCTGTGCCTGGAGCTTAGTGGACCCCAATCAATGTTTTTGTCTGAATGACATAGATGAACCATCAAGCACAGCAGGCAACATCAAATATACATTTGATCAGGAGCTAACATTTTTAGACCTCTGAGAAGCAGATGATGACAGTGTTTGTTTCTCTGCTTCTACTACCTTTTAGGTCAGTGTTTCTAGCACCTCCCAGGGAACAAATACTACCCTTTATCTCCCCAACACCATGATATCATGATAGTAGTATTTCCTTTCGATCTTTTAGTCTTTTCCAGACACTTAAAAGGACAATATGACTTCTGCATCCCAACTTCAGTTAATTCATTCACTTATTCTTTCAGTGAACATTTATTGAGTGCTTATTTTGTGTCTAGGAATCCAAAAATAAGACCGGATATGGCCTCAGTCTTCAAGGAGCTTAGTCCTGTAGGAGCTATGGACATGACATTAGGAGACTGTGGTACTAATGCTGGCTACGGAGAATGCAGGCCACTGTGGGAGCGATGGAGGACACCTCACACAAGCTGGCCGACTCAGAGGAGGTAAGTTAAAGTCTCGAAGGACTTGTCCACCTGTTCACTTTATCTCTGGCATCCATCCTTTCCCCCTTCCCCCAGTCAATTAGTAAGTAAGAAAGTAAGTAGTAATTAGGTAAGTAATGACTATAATGCAAATTACTGGCTGAGGTAACCTTTGACTTGGATGCATGCTCACCAAAGTGCTATATGCTAATCAACGAACGCAGATGGAGTGTATGGTCCTTCCTCTCCCTAGAGGAGGGGAGCAAGAGGTCAGGAGGGCACACCACACTGGTGTCCAGATTGGAGGGAGGAAAGAACAGGTAGACAGGGAGGCTGGGGACTGCCTCATTGACTGCAGAATTATTTTGGAGGCTCGGTATTATTTACCTTTAACTCTTTGCAAACAAAAAGGAAAGTATGTGAGGATGTTTGTTTGTTCATTTGTTTGTTTGTGTTAGCCTCTGGCAACTGAACATAGGGTACAGGGTCTCAGCAATGTTGTGTGGGCCTGCATGAACCATATTAACATTGATCCACCTGATTTATAAAGGTGGGTTGGCTGGTTTTAAAACATAGGCTATTCTGTTACAAAATTGCTTCATTCCCAGAGGTTTTGTTAATCAGGACATTCTTGTTTTCAGCTTGAGTACTATGACTAATAATGGAAGGGGAAAAAAAATAAGTTGGAGAGGAAGAGCAGAGAGCTAAAAAGAAAAGAGTGTTGTGATAATCTAAGGGGCAAAGTTTTCTTAATTTATCTATATTGCCCTCTTTTTAAAGAAGCCTGCTAGACTTGCAAGAATTTGATTAAAATGCAATTTAATTCTTAGATCAGTTTAGGAAATAGAGTGTTTTTTAATTTACTCCCTCCTTCTTCCACCTCATTTTTTAAAGGAGGAAAAAACTGTCAACCCCAGAAAGTGTTGCTAGGTTGTGTGTGTGTGTGTGTGTGTGTGTGTGTGTGTGTGTGTGTGTGTGTGTGTGTAGTTGATTTTCATTTTCTGGAATAACGTTAGGGTGTAACTCTCCATTGGAAGGCTTTACGGTGTTTACAGTTTCGAGGTCTTTGACCTGGAGGAAGTTATGCTAAGACCAAGCTTTGGCTGGAGGACAGATCATTTTACCTTCTGGCCATCTGCTGAAATTGCCTTTGTCCCCTCCTCTCTATGCACCTCTTTCTTGAAAGGCTAGATTTTTAGCTGTCCAGCTCAGAGTTTCCTTTCTTATTGATGACACCTGAACTTTTAGCTCCAACCCAAATATTTCCCATCGCCTGCAGACCTGTGTCCTCTTATATACTAGATATCTTTCCTGTGTGTTCCATGGGCACCTCAGAAGCGATACACTCAACACTGCTTGCTCTCACCTGACCAGTACCTGTCTATGTGAGAGGTGCTAGCATCCCAGAATTGTTCACTCCCAGCCCATCCGTTACCAAGTCCTATTCTATCCCTGAATTTCTCTGCTTTTCTTCTGCTCCTCTCCATTCCTAACACCAGTGCTCTACTTCGGGTCTCCTCAGCTCTCTCTTGATTATCATTAATTATGCCTCTGTCCCCATCAGTCTTCTCCAACCCATATTTCCCTCTACCACCAGATTTATCTTTATAATGTGCAAACCTCCATGTCGCTTCCTTGTGTAAAATCTTTCAGGAGTCCTCCATTTTCCAGCTCTTCATATCGGTGGACCAGCTGTTCAGTAGTTTCATTCTCTTTGACAAGTTTTTCTCCTATAACAAAGAGGCTCAGCTCCTGAGGCTCTTTGCTGGCATCTCCTCTGCGCAACCTCTGAGAGTTGGCAGGCCCAGAGTGTTTCTCCACCCTCTTCTTTCCGATTATACTCTCCTTAGGTAACCTCTTTAGTCCCATGGCTTCCAGCAGCATATATCCACTGATGACTCCCAAGTTTATAGCTCTAGCCCTGACCTTTCTATTGAGCTCTAGACATATCCAACTGCCTCCTGGACATCTTCACTTGAATGTGTAGTAGAGACTCGGACTGAACAAGGCCAAAGCAGGGCTCTTGATCTCCTACCCGTTCTTTTCCTGCTCCTCCCCCACTCTTCCAATCTCAGTAAATGGCACCACCATTCACACAACTGCTCAAGCCCCAAACCTAGGGGTTGTCATTATTTCTTCTCTCTCATGCAGTCTATCATTTCCACTCCCCACATTCAGTCTTCTACAAGTTCTATCAGCCTTACATTTAAAACACATGCATCCTGATCGTGCCCGTTTCTATCAGTCTGCACTGCTTTCTCCCTAGTCACCGCCATCTCTCACTTGGATTACTCCAACAGCCTCCTCCTGTCCTACCAGCTTCCACCCTTAATCCCCAGAATTGATTCTCCACACAGTGGCCACAATGATCTTTTCAACAAGCAAATCATTTTGTGTTTCTTCTCTGCTTAAAACCACCATAAGCCTTCCTGTTACACCTGGTCACGTTAGCCTCCTGTCTCTTCCTTGAACTTACCAAGCGTGTTCCTGCCTTGAGGATTTTGCATGTGCTAGTCCCCTTCCTAGGTTCCTCTTCCCCCACATCTTTACATTCCCAACTCGTTGTGGTAATCTATGTGTGAGTTCAAATGTCCTTTCCCAGGAAGCCTTCTTTTGACCTCCCAAACTAAAGTGGTGTCCCCCTCAGTCTCTTTCTATCGTAGTAATTTGTTTTATTCTTTTCACCTGATCTTTTGACAGTTATGTCAAAAATTTTGACAGTTATGTGATCTTTTAATTTTTTTCTTTTTAATTATCTTTTTTCTCTCTACTAGAATGTAAACCTCATGACCATATGGATTCATAGTTTACAATCTATCCCCCACACCTAAAATCATTCCTGGTATACAGTAGGTGCTCAAAAATATTTGTTGAGTAGATGAATCAATATGTAATTGAACAAATTTGCCTCCGTTTGAAATACCTCTCTGACCAGGTAGATGTGTTGGAAGTAGTATAAGTATTAATGAAGAGTGGGAGAGGCTTGACTCACACTTAAAGGAATGAGTGGCAGCTACTTGACACTGTGGTTTCTCCTCAGACACAAGTGCAAGGCTCTCATCATTAATGCTTGTGATCTCCTGCTGATAAATAATAATGAGATATTTTATTTGTAATGCTGAACTTCCCAGTTCACGTTTAATCTTTGCAAATGTGTAACTCCAGGCCACAGGGCTAGTGCTCATCTCTGTGACAACTGCAGGTTTACTTTGAACTTTCTATTCCTCTCTCTTTTTATCTTGAGCCATCCTGGGGGTAGGCATCCAGGCTGGAGAAAGTCTGGTTTAGAATTTTGTAGGAGGTATGTTTGGTTTCCTCTGAGTAGCTTTGGTTGATCCCATCTGAGATTTCAATATGATTAGGAGATATTGGGGCTAGGATTAGAGTGAGGGGGGCCACAGGTGACACCAAGTGGCCTTTCAACGTCTGTCCATCTGTTGTCAGGACAGTTATGTGTCGTTTGTGCATCCCTTTGGTTTGTGATAGAGATGGCGAAGTTGGGATAATGTTATGTTAACTGGAGGGGAGTTTAATGCATGTATTGCCAGTGACATTGATGATCATGGAAGGTAAGCCAGGGACTCAGTTTCTTCAGAAATTATCAAATACTGATAGCACTTGATTGTATTTGTCTTTCACACTGTGACAGTCATGCAAGCACCATAAACATCTTTGGTCTTCAAAGAAGAATGATGAGTGATATGTTCAAAGGAACCTAAATGGCGCACCCTATTTGTTTAACCTCATGAGTGGAACCAAGGTTATGTTGTCAATAGATAAATCCTGCTTTTCTAGCTCTGAGAGGTTAGGTTTTTATTTCCTATGAGAAAACTACCTCCTTCCTCCCCATATCTCTGCTTATTGGGTTATAGACCTGAAATGGAAATTTTACCACATGTCTGGGGCCACCAGAAAGCCAACAGCCAACAGTTGCTGCTTTTCTGCCTCTCATATTCCAAAAAGGTAGACACATGAGGCTGTAGGCAAAGCTGCGAAATGGATGAAGTTAGTGTTTGCTGCCTGTTTCCTTTCACCCTAGCAATGTTTACTCTTGTAAGTAAGCAGCGTGTTAAGTTGCTCTTCAGGGAAGAAGAGAGTGTCTAATACAGAATCTTATTTACGAGGCACAAAGAGTTACTGAAAATAGAAATATTTACAGTTTTTAAATTTTAGGATAGAACAATGCTGATCTCATTAGAAAAAAAACACTTTGAGGAAATTTCAAAATCTGGGTGGAGGAGACAGTATGGGCATGAGCAGGGGGCAGAGTAAACTCTAGTGCCTCTGAGTTAAATCTTGCCATGTTGGCTATGCCCAGCTCATCTAGCTTGGTCTAGGGGGAGATGACAGGGCCCCAGACAGGTTCTGTTTTATTCCTGGCAATTGGGGTGCAAAGGGAGGGACAAGCCAGTGATATTAAAATGGAAGTGGTGACTGGTTGGTATGGAGAGCAAGGGAGAAGGAAAGCAGATAGCTATAGTTTGAATTTGGGGAGTTGTCAGAAGCATTAATCACTAGGAATCAGATTTTTTGTGAAATGTTAATGGACTCACACATAGAGATGTCCAGTAGGCCAGGGGGAGTGTGAGCAGGGCTTTGTTATACGTTTTCTTAAACCTCCCCAGCCCCTCCCTCCAGCTACACTGAGAACTCCGTGTCTTTGGTTTCTTTTCCCTTTTCTTGTTTTCTTCTTTCTTTCCTTTCCTTTGCTGCAGTTCCCCTTCTTTCTCTTTCTTCCTTCTGTTTCTTCTCTTCTCCTTCCTTTTCCTTTTCCTCTCTCCTTTACTCCCTCGTTCTCTTCCTCTCTTTAAAAATCATATACCACTCCATAATCCCCTTCAAAGTATACAGCAGGAAATGAATATCCAATGAGTTGGGATTAATTTTGCTGTATTATAACAGGAATGGAATAGAAAACTTTTAAACATTAGGCAACCAAAGACACCTAAAATCTAGCAAAAATGTGCAAACTCTCAGAATTCTGGCTCATAGTTTGAGACACCATCTGTTTTCATGCAGAA